GAAGTTTTAAAAATATAAGGCCAGACTGTTTGAAGCCACAGATGTTCAACATCAATGTGGCAGAGGGGCTTCCTTAGAGGAAAGACCTCTCCCACCACCAATGCTGAGAACAGGATGCCACAAATTTTACTTTTGCTAGCATAAGGAGAGCAGAGATGGTGGGGTGGAGGATGAAGGTGAGGATGCAGTGAGGAAGAAAATTAGGACAAGAATCATGAATTCAAATCCCAGGCTCTACAGTCACTCCAGTCATGAGGAGCTTTGCTCCTGCATTCATTCCTTCCTTCCTCAAATATTTATGGACTGTCTCTTTTGTGTCAGGCTGTGTGCGATGTGCGAGGGATAAAGAGAAGACTTGCTCTCATGGTGCTTAGAGCCAACTTGATGAGACAGAGCTAAAGCAAGTTGACCCATGGGGGAAGGAAAGAGGCAGATTTCTGCTGAGGAGGGTGGGGATGAGACGGAAGAGGAGGAGGTGAACTGCTTCAGAAGCAGCCACAGTCCAGCCCTGGGTGGGTCCTCCTCAGAATTCAGCAGCAGTTTACAGGTCCTCTGCAAAAGGAAATAAACTTGCTGCTTGACCTCTCTGAAGCCCCAGATCTGGACACTGTACACCCTGATAGGTCCTAGACCATCCTAGAAATGAGCAACCACAGTCCTCCCAGGACCGGAATGAACAACAAGAAGGAGGTGAGTTTTCCAAGCCTAGCTGGGATGCGCAGGAACACTGCAGACCTGCTCTGTAGAGTGGCTGACTCAGTGTTCCCTTCTGAGAAAAGGGAAGGAGGCTCAGATTATGAAGACGGGGCTTCTAGGGGTGACCTTCTGCCAAGCTGGGCCATGGAGGACTTGCTCAGTCCATGGTTTCAAAGGACATTGCTGCCACTTCTCCTGGGAGGCAGAGAGGAAAAAAGTCACTGTGGGGGTGTGAGGGATGTGGGACCCCCTGAGCTCCACCTCTCTCCCCAGCCCTTCCCCTCCCACGTGCCCTGTCCCCTGTCTTACCCCAGGGCCCGATGGTCCCACCGCAGGTCCTCACGCAGTCCTCTCCCATCTTGAAGTTGTTTTTCTTAGCATTGCGGCCACCACATACAAAGGTCTCGCAGAACCAGGACTTGGTGTCGTGGAAGTACCTGAAGTACAGGAAGTACCTGATTATTTTGACCTTGCAGGGATCTGTGTATGGAGGCTCTAGGCAGAAGACAGGCTGCAGGGATGGGAGGGCCTCTGGGTCAGAGAGGAGGATGGTCATCACCGCTTGCTCTACAAGGTCAACAACTGAACCCACCCGTTTGTTTGCCGTAGAGAGTAGTAAGGGTGCCAGGATGTGAAATGTGAAAAGGCTATTTGATGCCCTGCTTTCCAGGACATTATCTTTAATGTTTTTAGGCATGACAATGACAGGGTAATATTGTAAATAATTCCATACCCTTAATGAATATTATAGATTAGTTGGTATGAGGCCACTGATGAGGTTCAAAGAACAACAAAAATGGAGGATGTATATTAAGAAAATTCTCCATGTGTGGTCAGTTATTGGAGCTGGGCAATGGGCCCATGGGTTTTATAATACTATTCTCATACTTGTGTGTGTGGTTGAAAGTTGCCACCATTAAAAAGAAAGTGTTGAGGACTTCCCTGGTGGCACAGTAGTTAAGAATCTGCATGACACTGCAGGGGATATGGGTTCGATCCCTGGTCCAGGAAGTTCCCACATGCCGTGGAGCAGCTAAGCCCGTGCACCACCTACTGAGCCTGCGTTCTAGAACCCGCGAGCCACAACTACTGAGCCCGCATGCCACAACTACTGAGCCCGTGTGCCACAAGTACTGAAACCCACGTGCCTAGAGCCCATGCTCCACAAAGAGAGAAGCCACCGCAATGAGAAGCCCGCACACCACAAAGAAGAGTAGCCCCCACTCACCGCAACTAGAGAAAGCCCATGCACAGCAACAAAGACCCAACGCAGCCAAAAATAAATAAATAAATTTATTTAAGAAAAAGGTGTGAAGGAATCATGCTCTAATGGAGAAAGGCATGGAAGAAAACACACCAGTGTGTTTACATTGATTAACTCATGCGGGCTGGAATAATGGAATATTGAGGGAAGATTGTGACATATAAAAATTTGAATTTTGTCTTCATCCTATTCCTGGCACAGAGCTCCTAAAACTGTTGGAATTTCCTAAGAGATGAGAATGAAAAAGGAGTCTTTTATCATGTGAGGGGGTTGACTTTCGTAAAGCCCCAACCTAAACCAAAAATGGGGACTGGTTGCCAGGGGAACCAACTGTCTCATTAGGGAATGGGAATTTTCATACCCACCCTTCCACCTTTTTCTGTCCCCACACCTCAGGTGCAGGAGAGGGGTTGAAGGTTGAATCAATCACAAACGGGTAAAGATTTAATGAATCATGATTTGTGATGAAGCCTCCATAGAAATCTCAAGAGAGCAAGTCATTCATATTATTCAAGAGAACTGGGGTGGACCCAGGGAACAACGTAGGTACACACTCCATCATGGCTCACCTGGACCACAGCAGCAGCCTGCCCATGAGCCTCTGTCTCTGCCCTTCGCCCCCTAGAGGCCACTCTCTGCACTGCAGCCACAGAGACCCTGATAGAACCCTGAGTCCTATCCCATTGCTCCCAACACCAATCCCTCAGTGACTCCCCAGCTGTCTCACAATCAAAGTTGGATCCTTATAAAGTCCTACAAGGCTCCTCACGACTTACCCCCATGGCCTGCCTCATCCCCTTCCTCTCCCCTCCCCTTCACCCACTCAGCTCCAGCCACCCTGGTCCTGGCTGCTTCTCAAACACAGGAGGCACGTTTTTTTTTTTGCAGCCTCTTCTCAACACTTCCTTATCACAGAGGGTTTCACTGACCAGTCTACAGAAGGAGCACAGCCTCCTTTATCCCCATCACTCTCTTCAAAACACTCATCTCAACCTGGCATAGGACTTTTCCCCTTTCTTTATTGTCTGTCTCCATCTTAGAAGTCAGATTATTTTACTATATTTTGTTTACAGCTGTTTCCCTACACTAAGAATGATGCGTTTTAGGAACAAAAAGCATAAATATTTGATAAATATTTGTCTAAGAAATGAATTTCCCATTTCATACTCATGCCAAGTGCACAGTCATTGAAGAAACTGGAAATAGTAACATTCTTGTTAGTGAAATGTCTATTTGGTGATGGGGCATGTCTATATAATTATGAGACAACCTCTAACATTGTATATCCTAAAAGGAAAATAAAATAGTAGTCTGTTGGGGGGCAAGGGGAAGGGTCTAGAGTTTTGACTAATACGGTACCAGCCTGGAAAAAAGTCTGGGCCCCACCTGCAAAAACACAAAAGTACTGCATTTCTTGCTCTCCCTGTAGTTGCCTCAGAAAGGGAAGAAGTTAGGTGTCACTCAACTTTCTGATTAATTTCATAATAAAGAAATGATAATTATTTGACATAAGTTTCTTTTGGGGAGGGTGGTGAAGAAATGCAGGCAGACAAGTCTTTCCAACTAAGATATTTAGGTGGAAAATGGCCATCACTGACCATGAAATGGGGAGACTCTTTATACTCATGATTGGTAATCGTTTCAAAAAACTCATGTAACATATGGTCCCGCTGTTCAGGTAAGGAAACTGCAGAAGACTTGTCCCAGGACACATGACATGTGGGTGGTAGGATCAGGAAAAGATACTATCATATCACAACCCAATTAATAAAGTACCTGATTCTGCCAGGAATTCTGAAAAGCAGATAACCAGTAAGGACTCCTGAGTACGCTTTCCCACCCACATACAATAGTCCCCTGTCCCCAGACCTCACCCCAGCCACACATTAGAGAGAAGAGTGTGTCCAGGGTTTTTCCCTGACTGCAAATATGTGGTGTCCCTACCAACACCCACTGGCGGCCCACAAGTCAATTCACTTCTGACACTAAATCTGCGGAGGGAGCCCACACCCCAAAGGTTGAGGGCTCAGTCCCTGAGGACGGCCCCTACTTCAAGTGCCGATCACAAGTCCCGGGGTCACCCATACACGTGACCAACTGGCTATAAATTATAAATTCAGGGGTTCCATGACCCCACCTCCCATATTCAATAATTTATTAGAACCACTCACAAAACTAAGGAAAGCCTTTTACTCAATGTCCCAAGTTATTATAAAAGATAAGACTCAGGGACAGCTCTATGGAGGAGATGTGTAGGGTAAAGGGGGAGCTGGGGGTGCCGAGCCTCCCTGCCCTCTCAGAACACGACCCCCTCACAATCCCTTGATGTGTTCACCTCCCCTGAAGCGCTCTGAACCCAGTGTTTATGGGTTTTAATTGAGGGTTTGAGGTAGGCAATTTGATTGAATCGTTGGCCATTGGTGACTGAACTCTACCTCAGTACACTCTCCTCTCCCCAGAGGGGTTGGGGGTTGAAGGTTCTAACCCTCTAATCACCAGGTGGGATCTTCCGGAGTCCAGTCCCATCCAGAGGCTATCTAGGGTCCCATCCCTGACTCCTCTCATGACCTACGAAGACAGTAAATTCCAAGACTTTCAGGAGGCCTGTTTTAGGAACCAGGACAAGGATCAAATGTGAATCTTTTCTTTACATTAAAGTGAGGTTCGGGGACAGGCAGTGACCAGGAACAGAGAGTCTCAGAGATGGGGTCCCTGGTTTGGCATGGTTCAGTGGGTTTCTTTTTTTAAAAGCTGAAACATAATGATTCCTTTTGAGAGTCATGAAATGTCCCTGGAGTTACAGCTGCCCAACTTCCCAGGAGAAATCCAGAGAGGCTGTCAGCACCCACCCCACCCCTGCTCCCCAGCCCCTCCCATGGACTCCCCTCATCCTCCCAACCCCTCAGCCTGTAAAGGAGACGTGAGCCAGGACTTACCCTGGGCCTGTTTGCTGGTTTCACTCCCTGGGGTGCCAGCCAAAAGGGTGCCCAGGAGGACGAGAAGGGCTGCAGAGAGGCGGAGCTGACTCATCTTCGTGGCCTTGCAGGAGGGCTTCTGAGGAGAGCAGGGGGCTGACACAGCTTCTGACACCCCACCTGAGGGGTGGGAACAGGCGATAAGGTGGTAAGTGAGGAGGAGATGATCTGGGGTCAGTGCTGTTCCTAGAAATCTTCCCACATAACCAGGCTTCCTGCCTCTGCCTGCTGGGGCCAAATGCCCAGTAACAGCGCTTCTCAAACTTGACTCTGCCTGTGGGTCTTGTTGAAACACAGATTGTGATTCCACACGTGGAATATTTGTCTGATTTGTTCCTCACGGAGCATCCCAGCACCTAGAGCAGTGCATGGCACGTGATGGCCGGTCAGTGGGTGGATGAGAGCAAATCAAAGGACAGAAATGAACAGCAGTGTGTTAGCTCAGGTCCTCATTTTCAGCCTCCTGCAGGTAACATCACATCAGGGGATCAATGCCCTTCACTCCCTTCCACCCCCACCTACCTCAGAAGACAGGTGTAACACAGGGCCACTTCCTGCATCCCTTGAAGAGCATCTCAGCTCTATGGACACAAGCTCTTTACCTGGCACTGGTCCATGAGAATGGTGAGCTGGGTGAAGAATATCTCCATCTGGGGGACACACCCTGATTTTCTGGGTAGAAAAAATGTAAGGGACGTGGTCAGAGGGGAAGCAGGGAGCTGAACACGTCTCCACAGCATGACCACTCACCGACCCTCACCTGGCTTCACCAACAGGAGAGCTGCCTGCCTGGGTGGATCTCAGGGGCTGGAGTGGATCTCAGGGGAACTTGGAAGATCACCTGCAACATTCCTCTTCCCATTCTGGTCTCTCCACCAGTGGTTTTGAGATTGGAGGACCTAAGTTTGCATCTCACATCTCCCTTTTCCTAACTTTGTGATCTGGGGCCAGAAATCTCCAAGAGCCCGGTTTCATCAGGTGCCATATGAGACCCGTGCTGCCCACGTCGTGGGGTTGCTGTGGAAGCAGCGGAGGCAACAGACATATTCCTTCGCCCTGCAAAGTCAGTCCTTGTAATAAGAATAATAGTGAGCTATATGACAGTTAACACTTAGCTTCTTTGACCAGGGGGTCAAATAATGGCAACGTGGGGTGGGAAAAGGGCAGGACCGGGGTAAGGTCAATCACTGAAGCAAGAGGGCTTTCGGTTACCTCTGACGAAGAAGGAGACCTATTTGGAAGAGAGACTGTGACTCTCCTCTGGCACTGGGGGAACTTCCTGAGGGTGGACTTCTAGAAGGGGACACTTCATCAATGCTGTTTGTTCCTTTCTTTTCTACAGTAGACAACACATTTAAAAAGTAGTCCGGAGCTAAGGAAACTAAAACTCTACGTGCTTCTAGACAATTTGCTTTGGTAAATGGTGTGCAAAGAACTTTAGCAGCCTAATCAACATGGTCCTCAAAAGGGTCCATACCTGGGGATTTCTTAAGGCAGATACCATCATCTTATCTTACAAAGAAAGAATCTGTGGCTCAGAGAGGTGAAGTGACTTGCCCAAGATCACACAGCAACATAGTGAGTTACTGAAGCCAATCTCTTTTCATGAATACCAAGTCATTTCCCCATTACACTGTTGTAAATTAATAATTATTAATAATAATTAAATAACTTACATATTTATAGTATTACTCTTACTGTTATCAGATCTGATATTCATTAAAAGCTTACTCGGCCAATACATGCACAAAGCATTTAACAAATATATCTTTCTAATTCTCACCACAACGTTATGAGATTGATAGAGAAAGAGAAATGCAGCCTCTGAGTTCCAAGACCTGACCTGGCATCACAGCGCGCCTTATGTTCTCCTCCTCGACAGAAACATTTCAGAAACCTTCAACATCAGACAAGGCCATTCTGTGTCCCTGCCGGATCAAGACAAAAATAGGACATTCGGTAATGATGTTTGAACACTGACAAAGTGAGGTGAATTATACAAACCACCAAAACATCCAAGCATCCCCCTATACTGAGTGACTGCTACGTCTTTACCAAGTACAGCTCTAACTTCTATCTAGCCTTCCCTTCTTAGAGTTAAGATAAAGATACCCATTCAGGGCTTCCCTGTTGGCGCAGTGGTTGAGAGTCCACCTGCCGATGCAGGGAATGCGGGTTCGTGCCCCGGTCCGGGAGGATCCCGCGTGCCGCAGAACGGCTGGGCCCGTGAGCCATGGTCGCTAAGCCTGTGCGGCTGGAGCCTGTGCTCCACGATGGGAGAGGCCACAGGAGTGAGAGTCCCACGTACCGCAAAAAAAAAAAAAGATACCCATTCAGAGAGCCGCCCCACTTCCTGACAGCATCCATCCAGAGCAGAGCCAGATTCCTGAAACACCGCCAAATCACCTAACACAAGCCCACATCCTATAAGCTCTTTCTAACATTCTTTTAATGAGACATCATATTGTTTTCCAAGGTGATTCCCGTTCCTTGCTGCAGTGAGTAATAAACCCAACTAGTTCAACTGAACCAGATTCCCCTCTCTACACTCTACGACTTTAGGCAAAGTGCTTTATTTCTCGTTACCTCAAGTTCCTCCTCTGTATCATGAGGAAATACCAACAGNTGAGCCAGCTCCCTTCTCCTTGACCCTGGAAGTGGAGCACAGGGTGTGTGTGTGTGTGTGTGTGTGTGTGTGTGTGTTAGTGGCAGATTGCTTGAGTATGTGTGGATGAGTGAGTTGAGGGGGCATTGGTGCTACATGGTTGTAACTGGGAGTGAATATATGGGAGTGAGTGAAGAGATTGTGGGTGTGTAAGCCCTCACACGTGCACTATAGTTTCAGCTTACAAAGCAGTAGAGTGCATGGTGCACAGACTCTGAAGCCGGATCCCTGGGTTCAGATACTCTCTCTACACTGTATATCTTTAGGCAAATTCTTTCTTTTTACCTCAGGTTCCTCCTCTGTAACATGAGGAAATATCAAAAATTCCTCACCACCTCTTTTAAGATTTTTGTGGATTAGATGAGTTAATATATGTCAAGTAGTTAGGGTAATGTCTGACACATAGAAGAAGCTAAGTTTTATCTGCTGTAATGACATTATTATTATTATTACAAGGACTTTGACTTCTCAGGGAGAAGAATATATGTCTATTGCCTCCACTTCTTCCACAGCAACGCGTGATGCTGACAGCATTGACCTCATGTGACACTTGAAAACACAGGGCTCTGGGAGATTTAAGTCTTCAGGGCACAAAGTTAGGAAAAGACAGAGCTGGTACCCAAACTGAGGTCCTATGGTTCCAAAACCACTGGGGGAGAGACAGGAGGATGGAGGCTATTGTGGGCGATCTTCCAAGCTCCCCTGAGGTCCACTCAGGCAGGCAGCTCTCCTGTTTCTGAAACCTGGTGAGGGGAAATGGGAGGTCATGCTGTGGAGACGTGTTCAGCTCCCTGCTTCCCCTCTGCCCACACCCCTTACTCCTTTTTCTACTGAGAAAACAGGGCTGCTGCCTCAGGAGGGCTTCTGCCTGGGCCAGTGCCAGGTAAACAGCAAGTGTCCATCCAGCTGAGAAGTTGTGGCAATGGTTGCAGGAAGGTGTCCTGTGTCACACCTGTCTTCTGAGTTAGGCAGTGGTAGGGGTGAGGGTGAAGCACATAATTCCCAGCTGTAATGAAACCTGCAGGAGTTGAAAAGGAGGACCTGAGCTAACACACTGTTGTTCACTTATCCATCCTTTGATTTGCTCTCATTCACTCATCACCTGCCATGCAGTGCTCTAGGTGCTGGGATGCTCCCTGAGTCAACATATTGGACAAAATTCCACCTGTGGAATCACAATCTGTGTTTCCACGAGACCCACAGGGAGAGTCAAGTCTGAGAAGCGCTCTTACTGGGCATTTGGCCCCAGCAGGCAGAAGCAGGTWAGGTGGGGAGATTACGCAATAAACAGGACCCAGCCCAGCTCCACCCYTTCCTCACTCCCCTCCTCATTGCCTGTCCCACCCCTCAGCTGGGATATGAAAAGCTCTGTCAGCCCCCAGCTTTCCTCAGAAGCCCTCCTGCAAGGCCACGAGCATGAGCCGGCTCTGCCTCTCCATCACCCTTCTCGTCCTCCTGGGCACCCTGGTGGCCTGCACTCCAGGGGGTGAACACAAGAGCCATGCCAGAGGTGAGTCCCGGCTCACCTCTCCTCCACAGGCTGGGGAGGGATGAGGGGAGTCCATGGAGGGGCTGGGGAGCAGGGTTGGGGTGGGTGCTGACAGCCTCTCTGGATTTCTCCTGGGAAGTTGGGCAGTTTTAACTCCAGGGACATTTCATGACTCTGAATAGGAAAAAAATTAAAATTAAAATTAAAAAAATATATATCCCACCAAATTTACTGGATCAGGGACCCCATCTCTGAGACTCTCTATTCCTGGTCAGTGCCGTGTCCCTGAACCTCACTGTAGTGTGATAAAAAGATCAGTATTTGATCCTTGCCCTGATCCTGAAACAGACCTCCTGAAACGCTTGGATTTACTCTCTTTCATAGGTCACAAGATGAGTCAAGGAAGGCGATCCGAGAGACCTTCAGTCTGGCCTTCAAAAACACTCAGACATGCGTTTAGAGGTTAGAACTTTCAACAGCCCGCATCCCAGCACCTCTGGGGAGAGGGGAGGGTATTGAGATGGAGATCAATCACCAATGACCGATGATTCAATCAATATGCCTATTATTGACACCTCAATAAAAATCCATAAATATTGGGGTTAAGAGAGCTTTCGGGGTGGTGAGCACATGGAGGTGCTGTGAGGGGGTGCGCTCCACTAGGGCACGGGGCCTCCACACACCTCTACTCCCCCTTTGCCCTGCGCATCTCCTCCATTTCGCTGTCCCTGAGCTTTACCCTTTATAATAACCTGGGAACGGTAAGTAAAGGGTTTTCCTGATTTCGGTCACCGCTTCTGTTGAGTTATTGAACACAGACGTGGGGTCATGGAGCCTCCGATTTTTAGCCAGTCGGTCACAAGCATGAGTGACTCTGGACCACATGGCTCGCATTTGAAGTGAGGACAGTCTTGAGTCCTCAACCTGTGGGGTCTGCAGTAACTCCACCAATTTAGTATCAGAAGTAAATTGAGGGACTTCCCTGGTGGTCCACCAGGTAACACTCCCCCCTTCCAATGCAGGGCTCCTGGGTTCGATCCTTCGTCATGGAATCAGATACTACACGCCAGAAATAAGAGTTCCCATGCCCCACCTAAAGTTCCCTCATATCGCAACTAAAGATTTTACCTGCCACAACAAAGATCCCGCATGCGTAACGAAGATCCAGCAAGCTGCAACAAAGATTCCGCATGCCTCCACAAAGATCCCGAATGCCTCAACCAAGACCTTGCACGTGGCAACAAACATCCCACACCGGGCAACTAAGATCCCGCACATGGCCACGAAGATCCCGTGAGCTCCAACTAAGACTTGCCACAGCCAAATACATACATACATACACACATATTAAAAAAAAAAAAAAGAACTAAATTGACTCGTGGGATGGCTACTGGTTATTGGGGAATTGGTTAATGATGGTGGAGACACAACATACTTGGTGTCAGGGAAAAACCCAGACTCCCTCTTCCCTGTAATTTTGGGGCTCAGGAGAGGCTTGGGGATGGGGGAGTAATGAACGTGGGACACTGCACCCAGAAAACACTTACCAAGTTACCAGTATTTTCAGAATTCCTGGCAGAATCAGGTAGTATATCAAATGGGTTGTGACATGATAGTACGTTGTCCTGACCCTATCACCCACATGCTGTGTGTCCTGGGACAAGTCATTTGCAGTTTCCTCACCTGAAAGGGGATACATATTACATGGGTTGTTTGAACAGCTTACCAGTCATGCATTTAAAGAGTTTACTCACATTTCATGGCCAACTTTGTCCATTTTCCGCCAAGATGTGTTAATCTGAAAAAACTTCTCTACTTCCTTTGGGCAAGAAAGAATATTTAGGTGTCAAATAATTACTCCTCTAGGATTAAAATTAATCAGAAAGACGTGGGACCATTGAGCAGAGCAACTGCAGGGAAAGCAAGAAACACAACGCTTCTGTGAGTTGCTCCTGGGACCAAGGCTGATACAGTCTTAGTAAAGGCTCAAGGCCCTTTCCCTTGCCCCCTTTTGACTATCATTTTATTACCCTCTCAAGATATAGAATGAGAGGTAGATTGATAATCACGTAGGCCTGCCCCATC